CTGCCCCGGAATCGAACCAGCAACGTTTTGGTGCCCTGGACGATGCCCCAACCACCCGAGCCACTCGGCCAGGGCGGACACGGTTTCTCACTCAGAGATGAAACCCCCGGCAAATGTCAGAATCGAGGCTCCTCTCTGACATTTTACTGGAACCAAATCTTTAGAGTCTGGTGTTGGGGGGAGCTCAGATGGCACCCCTTCAGCATCCCCTGCCCAGGTCCAGGCAGCATGGAATAGAGGAGACTAGAGGGCTAGTGTGGGCGAGGCGGCTGTCCTGGGGGCCGGGGGTGGGGGTGCTGTGACCCTGTCCCTGGTGTTACTGCGAAAGGTCGTCCGCAGCAGCTGCTGCGACTCTGGCTCCGGCGATGGGCCTGTCCAGGCCGGAACGTGGCCAGTTGATCGTTGTGGTCCTGGCAGTGCCTTGGCCGGGAGGCCCCTGCGGGCAGGGAGAGGGCGCCTGGGCTGCCCGCAGACCTCCTCCCTGGCGTGGCCACGGTGTCCTCGGGCCTGCAGGGCTCCTGGCGTCTCCCAGCCCCTCGATGGGCCCGAGGTGGGCTCTGTCACTGCTGGAGACCGGCCTGACCGGGGAGCTGTCGGGCCTCCTTCCTGTGTTACCTTTGCGGGCAGATGGGCTCTCGGCTCAGCTTCCAGCAGCTGAGCAGGGGCCAGTTCCCCAGGGGCTCAGGGTGCCCCAGCCTCGGACTCAGGAGGCTGAGAACGTGTGTCCCACAGGGTCTGCCGATGTCACCTGTCCAGGGCGCACTCGGCGCCTCTGACCCGAGAACAGGACGTGGAGAGGCCGTTCCTGGTTGGGGCGACCCCTCCCCCCAGACCTCCGCTCGTTTCTGACCGGCCAGGGGGACCCTCGGGGTTTCTCCGTCCTCGCGAAGGGCGGGTGTGCGCAGTGGAGGCCCCGGACAGCTGCCTCCGTGTGGCAGCGCCTCCCTCCCGTGAGTGACCGCCCGCCTTTTCCTGACAGGCTGGCCCAGCTGGACATCGACAGCCATCTCGCCCAGTGCCTGGCGGACAGCACGGAAGACGTGGCGTGGTGACAGCCCGCACGTCGCTTGCCAGGACCACTGCCCTGCACGCAGCCCGTGAGAAAGCCGAAGCTACACGTTAAAACATCACCGTGGCCCGGCCGGCGTGGCTCAGTGGTTGAGCATCGACCTGTGAACCAGGAGGTCACAGTTCGATTCCCAGTCGGGGCACATGCCCGGGTTGCGGGCGCCATCCCCAGTGTGAGGCAGGCAGCTGATAAGATTCTCATCATTGATGTTTCTACCTCTCCCTTCCTCTCTGAAATCAGTTAAAACATATTTTAAAAGAAAAGAACACAACCTGCTTCCTGGAAACACTTTTAAGGAAAATAACAAGAGTAAGCGCTTTCATGAAGGTCTTTAATGATGTGTAGGAACAGCGGCCACGGCTGTGGTGGGCGAGTGTCGGCCACTGGACAGCGGGGCCACGGCCCTGCTAGTTGTACGAAACCACAGGACGTGGCGACCAGCCACTGGCTGTCAGGAGGGGTGACTCCAGACCTCAGGCCAACGTGTCCACCTTCTTTACTTTATAAAACGGCTGCGTGTAGCTCCAACCACCGCGCACAGCGCTCCCCACACACACTGTCCACATCAGCCAACCCGGCAACCGGAAGCGAACCAACCCTGACAGGGGTGCCTCCCGCGTACACATCCAGGGCCCGGTGCTGCCCTCACAGCACCCGGTGGGGCGCCTGCGAGGAGGAAGGCGCTCCCACCGGCCCTCGCCAGTCCCGACTGACCGCTCAGCTCTGATCCAGGCTCTGCTGCTGGACACCTGCCGGTGGGGACGAGGCCCGGCCGGCTCTAGGGCTCTGCCCTGTGCTCCTGGTCTTGGTCGGCATTTCCTGGCGACACGAGGTCTGGCGGACACAAGTCTCCATGATGCATGAAGGCTGCTCTGCAACTCGGGGCGGCCAGAGACCCCGGGGTGGGGACAGGGCGGAGCCTCGCGTTCCTGCCGCCGTTGCCC